GGCCTGCAGCGTCGGCTCCAGCATTATCTTCACAAACTCGGTCACGTCTTCGTCCCTCAGCCTTAACTCATCCGGAGTTTTGTTCTCCCAGCTCTCGAGATACTTCTTTACGCGTTCTTTGCGCACTCTGTCAAATAAATAACCTTGTTTAGCAACAACTGTACAGAATGAGAAAATATAGATGACTTAAATTCCGTTAATTATATTGAAATATCATATATTGGGTAATAAATAGTTTTACCTGTTTAGGAACTCGCGAGCCAACTTCCTGAGGAGATCTCTGAGCTTGAAGGACCAGCGGCCGGCGTTGGCGCTGTGCAGGTAGCTCTCGATGCCGCCCAGGAAGCTCTTGAGCTGTTTCAGCACCACACCGTCCGGCTTTATGTTCCACACTATCCATGTTGCCGCTTGCTTTATATCTACAAATATTCCACATAAAAATTATAGATAAAAACCATTATCAGAATTTGAATGAAATAACGTATCATCAAAATCGTCTACATCGTTAAGGTTTATGATAATGCTACAAATGGAACTGACATACTACCTTCTGTATTTGAGGTTTTAATATATTTGAGCATTGTCACCTAAGTTATAGTTCCTGCTGCACTGCATATCTTTGTAACTGACGGGTAAATTGAGCGAATGTAGTATGAACATGAACATTTTGGGCACATGAGGCGTCCAGTCCACCGCGCCCGGGTTCCGCTTTGACAAATCCGCAAACAACGCTATCAATTCCTGTAAATATGTAGTATAAATAAACTGCTGCTATTCAAATTAAAAAAATATTTTTTATAACATTTTTAACTAGCATTTGCCCGCGATTCCATCCGCGTGGTATTAAAAAAAACAGAAGTATCATTTTGCTCTACATGTATGCTAAATTTCATCAAGATCCGATCCGTCAGAAAACTCTAACAAATATACATCCATCCCTCGAGACATTTATAATATTAGTAAGATGTATAAGATATGTAAACTCACACTGATTCCAAATTGTGGATTATAACAGGTTTCCCATAGTTCAGTTAGTTTATCAAACCATAGTTTATGGCCATAGTCGGCTTGACTGGGGGCCAGGCCCACTGGTAGGAATAATGACAGCTGGGACACAGGATGAGAATCCGACGACCAAGGTGATATTTGTGGTAAAAACTCTTCCAGAATTTCTTTTGTAGCATTCAATTCAAAGTACCTGTAATTAGTATGATTATAAGAATATTACAGAAAAATAAATGACTTTTTCAGTTTAAAAGTAAGAAGTCATAATTTTTTTTATAACTAAACTATCAACATTTTTTCTAAAATGTTACTTACGGTTTTGCACAATTAATCATGGTCAAGTATGTCCCTTCTAGAGATCTGAAAAATAGAAATAATTAATAAAACATATACAAATAATGAAGAAATCCCCATGCAGTTGCAGAACCCAACCACCAATGTTGCCTGACACCTGTGATTTGAATGAATCGCAAACCAGACTCCACAACCAGGTGAATGCGACAAGTAGCGGTACCCTAAGAGCTCTGCCTTATTAGGTTTACATTGAGACAATGCTGGCAAAGTATATAAATATTTAATACAAATGTAGGGCAGTTAACGCACAGTGTAACAACATCTTTAAATTGGCACAATATTGTTGAGACCTATGGTTTCTTGTGCAGGTGACTTCATATTCTGGCGATTATGACAATATCTCATATAGATAGGCATCTAAAGGCACTTCTATCTTATTTTATCAGTTGTCAATTCAACAGTCAGTGTGTACTTTTGTCCTTTTTCCACTACTGAGATAAACTATCCGCGACTAGTTTTATAAGTAACATTTTTCAAGCATTTCCACTGGCCTGACAAATTGTGCTCGACTAGAAGCAAGCGACAATCAATGCCTTCTTTTTGTAGCTGTCACCATGGCGACTTAATAAGGCAGAGCTTTAATATTGCGAAAAAGAATTACGTTGGAAATTCAGATTCGTGTTGTGACGCAAGTCCAAACAGAGCAAGGGCGTCATCGAGCCCATTACCGGACAGGAATTTGCGAATCACGTCGAGCTTATCTACACCTTGTTTCATAGAATTTTGCCTGAACAAACATAAGTTTAATAATGAATACATAAATAATATTACTACATCCTTACATACGGAATAAAATTAAATAAACACATTATTCAATACATGTAACTATCCAGAAATGTGGTTTACCTTATGGATGAAAATTTTAACATGTACATGTTCAAATCTACTATATTATTCATTAACGATATAGAAATATTTCAGACAATTATTTTTAAATTTTTATAATACTACATAAATAGTTACCAGTATCATTAGGTAGTATTAGTTTAAAGATCTTACCCCAAATAATGGTACATTCCTAAAGCAGTTTCACTTTTGTCAAATATTTTCTTCCCCATCTCGTACAGAGGGCGCCATGGTAGTGTTAGCTCTTCTGGCGAAATTAAATATCTCTTTCTGTAAAATAATACACTTAGTTAAAGTCAGCATGTATGACATAACATATGAAAAATTTCAGAAAATCAATTATTTTTAAAATTATAAATTTTAGTAATACATGCATCTTTATTATTAACTTACTTTGTGAGCATCAGAAACAAAGTGGCAAACTTGTGAACTTTACAAGGTTCTAAGTCTGGAATGAGAACAAGTTCAAATGCTAATTTTATCAGAGCGATGTGATCCTCTTTTGACATTTTCAATCCATACAGTCTTAGATACCTGAAAAATAAATCAATAAAAGACAATTAAATAACATTATCTAGGCATTGTTAACCTTCAGAAAGACTTACATACATTTTTTAATACACTGATTAATCAATAACTTTAAATGTATTTTAGGTAATCAAGAAATTTTTAGATCTAGGGAAGAAAACAGATCATCATCATCTCCCCCACCTTATCCTACTCCTGTATGGTCAGTGCACTGGCATTTTGTCCTCCAAATAACTCTGTCATCCGTCATCTCAGTCATCATTCGCTTCTTGATCATGACACCTTTCACACAATCCTTCCATCTCTTTCTAGGTCTATCTCTACTGGTGTACCCCACCACCAGTTATGAATATCACTAACAACCTTCTTGTTACATGCGATTCATCGCTTCTCATAATATGCCCATACCACACTAACTCTTGCTACTCTCAAACTTAGGAAAAAAACATAGTATATATTACTGTATATCTGTTCATCTCTATTGAATATATGTGTGACATTATTTTTAGGTCTATTTAAAAAAGTTTTTATACCACAAAGAATTTGTAAAAGTACACAATCTTACATTTTGGCAATCGGCCAATCTTTGGTTTTATAAATATTTGTTATGGGGTTATTTCTCCTATTTCATAGTGTTTTAGTGTTATCTGCATATTTAAATAAAAGACCACAGATTCATTAGAAATAAAATATAGAGATATTTTTTGTAATTAAAAATATTGCATAACATTATTATTTCCGAGAAAGACCTATTCCCTGTATTCTGTATTATTTTTAGTCAAATAATGATTAAATAAAAGGTAAATTAATTAATATTAATTTTCTTTTATTTATACATTGTAATAATTGAATTGTCATATTTCATCACAATGATGCAAGCAAATTTGATAAGATATTGCTTATATTTATGAAACATAGATAATGTATTCTGTAAGTAATAATGTGTTACGTAGATGACAGGTAACAAATTGTATGTCATGGACAAAGAGAGACGGAGGCCAGGTTTTCATTACAGGAAGTTCTGGGCTACGGCCAGTTATTTCTGAACTGAATGCATTGCCAAAGGTTAACATGTAACTGTGGCATAGACACATATTAATTTTATATTCAAACAATGTACTGAGTCTATGTCAAGATTTAAAAGAATGGTTTCATAAACAATGTTATGTTTTTTATATTTTACAGATAAACAGACAAAAAAATTGTTTTGCAAATTTTAGCAGTTGATTTATAACAAATGCAGTTACTTAAGGAGACTGTCAAATATGAATATTCATTAGATGTTTGTTCTTTACTTCTAGGTATAATACAACTCAGCATAAAAACCTAACCAACAATGTTGTCACTTGCAGGAAAATGTAAAGTGTAGGTTTTATTTTTTATTACAACAATTAACTTTATAATCTTGTAATCTACTTGGTTTTGGTAGTAAACAACATGCAACTAGTACAGATATCGAAAAAAAAAAAAATTGTGTGAGCCGAGTTTCAATTTTATTATAGTTTTTGATTTTTGGGTAATACAGCCATTTTCAAATTCTAATCCTACTTGCATCATTTTCTTTATTCAAACAAAAGTTTTACTAGAATATAAGTGATAAATTACTTAACAATTGTCATTGTAAAATATTTATGTAGTATGACTTTAACGAGTCATGATCTAGAAGTTTTTAATTTACTGAATCCAAAATACTTACTTCATGAGCCTCGATGACCAAACTCCACATGAAGGTTTCATTTCCCGCAGCATCACTGCTTTAGCTAGATTAGTCTTAACTTCTTCGAGAAATTTTGCCGATTCTTCATCAAACTCCGAAGCATATGGTAATAGAAGATTGATCAGGAGTTCCTTCTGAGGCTTGTACCCTAGAGCTTTGATACGCTCTAGGGTCAGGGCCTGTTCTTCGAAGTCATCGTCTTGAATCATCTTGGAATATTTTCAATTGATTATGGGGTCTCACTAAATTATTTCCTGTGATAATCGCAACATTACCGTAACCATGTAAGCAATAAACACACTGAATTATTATTCACCGTCTTCGTATTGTGAATGTATAAATCATAAACGAAACATTGAATTTTTACAAGTCATGTAGAATTATTTACGAAAAGATTTATACGATATTAATGAAATACAGAAGCATACGTTCCTTTTTACGATATTTCATTAATTGACGTTTGAACTTAATAATATGCAATGTCACGTCAAGCTGATCGTATTGGAATAATTTCTTTTAACGCATGTTTAGAGTAGTTTGAATAATATGTTTAGACGTTTAAACCTTGAGTTTTTAATAACAAAAACCTACTAATTCGCCTGGTAGAGCAAATCATTCTTTATCTAAGCATTTTCCCCTTTCTATATGGTCGATCCACTTATTCTCAAAGATTAGAAGAATCTGTGTTGACTATTGTTTTATGGCCATGTCATCGTCAATATCGATTCCTTGCCATCCTCTATGACACTTGCTATCCCTTTCAGGAACCGAGAGCACTGTGTAGGTTTACGATTAGGAGGAGGGATAACTTTGATTGTTGATGATTTAAAAACAACTACATACTTTATTTTCTTGTCTTATTTATTTCTTTCTTTATTTATTCATAATACATTTAAAAAAGCGTAATAAAATTTTAAGATTACATTCATAAGCTGATAAATCTAATTCATAGACGTAGACAAATAACACACATTCATTGATGGCGGAGACCGCTCTCCTTCTAGTAGACGCATACTGATTAATTATGATAAAAACATTTAATTCTTGGACCACAGTAAGTACAGGCAAACAAGGATATCTAGCCCGTTGAAAGGCGTTGGTATTGGTTTGTTCTGTAAAAAAATATGTAAAACCTGCATAAAGGCGCTAGTGTGCTATGAATATATTTGACATTTTCACACAGGGGCAAATAACTTGTTTGTATGTAATTGTTACTTTTAAGTTTCATGTTAAAAAGATTGTTATAGTTTCCAAAAATTATTTCGGTATAAAATATTCATAAAATATATAAAAAAGCTTTTTATGATATAACAGTTTCTCTCGCTGTTGTGTACAAACTGGCCGCGAAGACGATATCTCTTTTAATGGCGGTAGACGCTTCCAACATCTTGGCTTGAAGCTTCGGGTCTCCTATTGCAACGGCGGCGTCTTTTACGTCAATCAATAACTGTAAAAAATAGGTGGAATGAAAACAAGTATGGATTATAATTGATGTTGGTCTGGAAATATGACGTGGATATTTTACAATTTTTTTTTGGTTTTAAAAAATTACATTATCTTGGTAACCATTAATAGTGGTTTTAAACAGAAGTAAAACGTACCTCATGTAGTTGTTGAATGCACCGCACTATGATGCCCTCCTGCACATCTGTTAGGTCCATGATCTCCGCAAAAGGTTTCTCAAGAGCCCATTCATACACAACTCTTATTAAACCAAAGTTTAACCTTTCTCCTTGCCCTTCAAATTGACTGACCTGTTTAATTATTATGATTTATAATTATAAATATGATTCTATATCATAATTATATCTAAATTAGTAGCACTAGGCTAGTAATTTAATCGAGTACTAAAGTTTAGTATTTAAAATATTCTAATCTACTATAATGAAATGAGAGCTTCCTACTTGTTTAGTGACGGTTGGCTGGAGAATCTGAATTTACTCGACTAAATTTTCATTGTTTAGAGACATTTACTTACTAAATTACTCGGTATATAATTAAATTACTATCCTACTACGAACTAGCCTTAATAATTTTTAATCTATGAGCGTATATATGAAAAAAAACTCACCAGATATTTAGATTCGATCATTGTTAAATCTTCATCAATCGCCTTGATAGCTTCCACACCTTCTTTCAATTTATCAGTCAATGGTTGGCTGACATTTGTCTTAGCTTGGAACACAAAACAACTCAACAAGGCCGCTATCTCCGCTGGGTTCTTGTCAGTGAATACATTGCGGAAGACCAGCTCAGATATAATGAGTTCATTAGTCCCCATGCCACATGCCACACGACCTTTCAATATGACACTGTCGTGTTCGTCGATGTAATTCAGTTCTCTCAACACAAGCAGACGACGTTGATAATCCGGATACAAAGCTAAGTTTTCAAACGACAAGAGTAATTTGTATTTATCGCGTTTCCTTTCAGCTTGCTTACGTTCGTAAACTATCGCGAATTCCGTTTTAAAGTTCGCGATGTCGGTTGATTTCTTCTGAGATTCTAACATGTTCTGTGGAATAAAAAAATATCTGTTAATAACCAAAAAGGCTTATAAGTTCTAGGTTGTTATAACGTATAACTATTAGTTAAGAAACAACAAAATCATTTTCTTGATAAAGGCCTGATTTTAATTGATTCTGACCCTTAAGTTAATTTTGTATCATACAAAAGTAAAAGTATACAATCACAATAGAATAATTTTAACTACCAATTCTTTCTTTTTTCTTCAAAGAAGCAATCTTAAGTTAAGGCAAGATAAGGATTGTGTTGCCACGGCAAGATTGCCTTAACAAAATCGAAGACATATACGAAAAATCATCATTCTGTATCTGTCAAGTAATAAGGAACAATAGACAGCAAGCACAATAGTCGGTGACCTTGTATTTGTTCATATTGTCCAAGGTGTGGAGCAGTTCCCCGGAGGAGAGGGCGAGCGCCTGCGTGAGGGCGAGCGTGGCGAGCGCGCTGGCGCCGCTGCGCACGGCGTGCGACACGCGCGACAGCTCCTGCACCGCCGCCAGGCAGCTGCTGCCCACCGCCGCCTCCTTGAACCTGACACCAGACCACCTCACACTCACTAGCCGGTGCTCGCGACACAGCCCGCGTCAAATTTAAATATATCTATCAGATAAATTACCTTTCTAACGGTGAAAGAATTTTTAAAATCGGCCTAGTAGTTTTTGAGTTATTTCAATACATACAAAAATACAAATCTTTTCTCTTTATAATATTGGAAATCATGTTGTTATCAACATGTATTCTTATAAGGATGAGTATGTTATGTATTTTCTTATTAAATAAGTATTTTTACTTCTTGTCTTCCTTGATTAACGGCCTGCACCCTCCCCCTTATTCCTCCTTTATTCCTCATTTTTAGTCAAAGCAATAAACTGTCGCGATTTAAACACTTTTTTTCAATTATCAACGAATGCGTGCGACTGAGTGCCCTGCACGACTATTTATTACAAAATTACGACTGGACGTAACTGGACGCTTAGTGGAAATGAGGTTTAAAATTACATTAAATAACGATGAATTTTCAACAAGAACTAAAATTATTTAACTTAATACAAGAAAACTAACCTTGGAATCTGTCTCTTGTCCCAGTCTTGTATAATAAGGCTGGCGTCTACCTTTAATGTCATTTTAGTGACTGCGATTATGTTCTTGGGCCCGATACAAAGTATGGCATGGTTCACTGTGCCTTCTTCAGTACCTATATTAAAAACGATATTGCTATGTAGGGTACATAAAGTTTACAGGTCATTTATTATTTTAATACGAAATTAAATTAAATTTTCGCTTTCATTATTACTAGCTTACATCCTCGACTTCGCGTGGAATAAAAAAACAAAAGTAAGTAGCCTATGTGTTCTTACAGACTATCCTTTACTTCTATACCAAATTTCATCCAGATCTGTTAAGCAGTTTAGGCTACAAACTCTAACATCCATCCATCCAAACTTTCGCATTTGTAATATTAGTAAGTTTGACTCACCTATATTGTCGTACATAGCAGTGAAGCTCAGCATTCTGTACCAATTTTCGTCCAAATCAAAGTTGTATTTATTAGGATCTTGCTCAATCGTGTTTAAAACCAACACTTTATAAGGAGTTTGTCTGGGACCTGAAACATTACATAAAGAGGGAAAGAGATAGCGTTATTTTTATCCAACTTCAAAAATTCGAAAAGAACTTCCTTTCTTTCCCACTATCTCTCTCTAAATTACTTCGAGGTATATGAATACGTGATTATTCTTTCATTTGATGCGGAATAGTCGTTTTTTTTGGTTTATAACTATAACTTTAAAAATACTTGAAAAGCCATACCTGTACTATTTAAATAAATCCCAAGTTGATTGATGTAAGGTCCTGCGGATATTATAAGTATCTTCCCGGGAACTAATTCTTTAGCGACTTTAGGCTGTCCGAGAAGTATTGGCATGATGTCATTAAGTACGTCGATGTATGCCACTGCGGTGTCATAAAATGTAGCTAATGGCGCGAGGTGCGCGGGCAATGGTGTACTGCATTTCTCACTGTATTCTTTTTCAGCTAATTCTAGTTGCTTTCTATGATTATCAGCTTGACATATTTGATAGAATTCCCTGAACGAACGCTGCATCATACCTTCGACGGATACGGTTGCGGCTCTAGAAAAAAAAATATTAAACTAAAACATTAACATCAATTAAAATGTTATGAGTTACTAAATTTGGATGGATGGATGTTTCTACGTATCTCCAAAACGACTTAACGGGTTTTATCGAAATATGACGCAAGTATAGTCTGGAAGAACAGATTGGCTACTTAGTATGTTATAGTATGTCATTTTTATTATTAGTGTTTACCTTAATAGACTGAGTATCATAGCGTAAGTAAGACGGAATTGTGATGAAAGTTTTTCAGGTGTGCCCAACATCATTTCCTTCAATTTAATTTGATTAGGCACTTCTTCTTTGCAGAGAATTATAACAGTTCCTGTATCATCCAAGCCTGTAATAATAAAAACATGAAAAATAAAGTGGAGGCAACAAGTTAGTATTAAGAACCTTTCAGATCAGAAACGATATGCAATGTAAAATTAACCCTTGTATCAATTGCATAAGACTCAATTTTATCTTAAAGGATATTAGAGTAAAAAAAATATACAAAATGAACTTCTTGAACACCCTTATTATTTTTTTAATCTCTTTGTAACTCGTCGCAAGCTAGCGTTGTAGTTAGCCTCTTCGTACACGAGGCAATGCAAATTTGTGATCTTAGTTTCTAAGCATCTTATGCAATGCAATTTCAAAAAGGATGCACACAGATACGCGACTTCGACATTGTATTGCATAAGCAAGTTAGAAACTATTGTTTTTTTTTTTATAATATAAGGTGGCAAACGAGCAAGCGGCCACCTAAACATCCGCAATTGCGGCGATTTTAATTATTCCTCCGGCACCACACTGATCAGACTGTACGCGGAATTGCTCCCACTTCACGGCTGTCTTCTGTGTGGTATTTCACCGGGCGAGCCAAACCATTCGTGCGAAGATAAAGCGGGCTTTACCACCGTTAACTGTTATCTGAATTGCTTTGTATACGAAGTAACACGACTAGTATGTGATAGATGTTGGAGTGTCTGTTCGGCGTTATTATGTATAAGTAGAGGGGTACCTCTGCGGCCGGCGCGGCCCGCCATCTGCACGTACTCTGCGGGCGCGAGGTGGCGGCTCTGCACGCCGTCGAACTTGCTGATGTCGTCGAACACCACCGTGCGCGCCGGCATGTTCACACCCATCGCGAACGTCTCCGTCGCGAACAGGATTTTCACCTGATCACCATCATCATCATCATCATCATCAACATCATCATCAACAACAACAACATCTTCATCATTAATCTGCTCTTAACCCCAGAAGAATGGCACAGTGTGTACTGCTCTTTCGTAAAATTCTATCAGCCATCAACATAATTTGAATAGTTTTTTAATATATTTATAGGTGATGATCTGATATGGTAACAGGCGAAATAAAAACCTACGGAAATATGATCTAATTTTGACATATTAAGGAAATAAGGTTTAGAGAAAATATACTTAAGAAAAAGTAAAAAAAGTATTGTTAAAAACTCAACTTACGAAGCCCGATTGGAATAACATTTCGACGATTTCCTTTAACAAAGGCAGGATACCGCTGTGATGAACGCCAATGCCGTTTTCTAATACTCTCTGCATTCTTATAACCTAAAACATATTTAAAAATTAATACTTAAAAAAATTTTCCATGTTAATGAGTTTCATTAAAAAAAAAATACCTGTGGCAACACTCTGTCTGGCTTTTTTAGTCTCTGCAGACATTTTTGGAAGAAGTTTCTAATATGGCCCTTCTCTTTGGCCGTCGTCAGGTCCACCGACATTAAGTTCTCTGCGTTCTGATCGCACCTTTAAAAGAAAACTAAAGATTATACAAAGAAAAATGGTAAAACCATAAATAGAGATGGCGCTAGTTATGCAACCATAGATGATATATGCGTAACTAGCGCCATGACTCATATTTTTGTAGGAATTATCTCAGTTTACCTGTTCCTAGAGAGTGTGAAAGCGACGACAGGCAGCTTGTCCGACTGCCGCAAGTGGTCTATGAAGGCCACCCACATCGTCTGCTCGGCTTTGGGGTTCATATATTGCTTTGTACCTGTTTAAAAGAGGTTATATAAATGATCAAAGATTACATTTATACTGATATTAAAAAGAGGAGATAATAATACTCTAAAGAGGGAAGATTTGTATCTTTGTATTTTTTATGTATTGTAATAACTTAAAAACTAATGGACGATTCAAAAACATTTATACACTATTAGCTATGTTACCATAGGTTATATTTTTTATTAATTTTCGAGTTCACGCGGAGGAAGTCGCGAGCAACAACTAGTTGATTATTTAATTATAGATAGGAAACAATTTATGCGGCATACCTTTTGGTCCGAAACTTTTCTTATATTCATTCTCTCTGGATTTTTTCGCTGCAACAGCTTCATTATATCCTCTTAACAGGAAGTTACTTTCTTGATCCACTATCATGAATCGTTCGTGTTTAGATTTACCACCGGTACCTAAAAAAACATCACAAATTTCATAAAACTGATTGTATTATCTTACATATTGAAAATTATTTTATAATGTAACAGAACCTGTATACAAATAATGACAAAGTGGTACTGGCCGCTTCGGTGTCGACACAACAAACACTTTTCGCTTCTTAGTGCGTCCCACCCAGTCGGCGAACTGCAGAGTATTCGGTACAGTTGCACTTAACATCACAATGCTCACGTGCGCTGGTAACAAAATGAGCACTTCTTCCCATACATAACCACGCTGAAAAAAAAACATGATATTACTTAAAACAATAATTCAATATAAGCAATTTACATAATGATTTAGAGCTGACATACACGGATAGTTTCAAACATATACCGTCAACGAAATTTTTAGCCGAGATTTAAAATTAATGGCAAACTTATTATAATCTATACTTGTATAAGTATTATTAAGAGGAAAGATTTGAATTTTTATATGTATTGAAATAACTCAAAAACTATAGAGCATCTTTCAAAAATTCTTTCACCATCAAAAGATACATTATCAGGGGGTAACATAAGTATAAATGTATACTATTTCTTATAATTACCTCAGCATTATTAATATAATGTACTTCATCGAATATAACGAACTCCAAATCTCTGGTGACGTCAGAGCCGCAGTAGAGCATGGAGCGCAGGATCTCCGTGGTCATGACGAGGCAGGAGGCCGTCGCGTTCAGCTGCAGGTCGCCCGTCAGCAGCCCCACCTCGCCGAACATCTTGTTGAAGTCGTTGTACTTCTGGTTCGACAACGCCTTGATTGGTGATGTGTAAATTGCCCTGTTAGTGTAAAAAAAACTCAGTGAACCGAATGAACAACCCGAGGCTTGTGAGAAAGCTCTCGAGATTTGTTAATCATGAACGAGGTTTAAGTTAAGCGTCATCTACGCTCGGTTATCTCAAGCCAAAAGATGCTGTAAAGGCATCTTCAAAAAAAATTCCAGTCCCTTAGAGAATTAAAAATATAAATATCGGCGCTGTATGTGCTTCTCTTCCATACATCTCTATCAGCCGTCATATCTGAATCCACTCCTTTCTTAAGCATATTTCACACAATCCATCCATACTTTCTTCGGTCTTCCTCTACCTTTGTAGCCATCCACATTTAATATTACCATTTTCTGGTTTATGTCCCCATCGTAATTGTACTGTTTAATTTATATGTAAATGTTACTATTAGCTAGTATTTACCTCGTACAGTTCCTCCTGGACATAGCAATAGCGTACTCTGCTACGACAGTCTTGCCCGCGGAGGTGTGCGCGGCCACGAACACGTGGTGACCTTCCTCCAGCTTTAGTATAGCCTACAAAGTAAAACAATTACGCTGCGGTTTATTAAAAAGCTAGATTTTACCCGCGACTTTGTTCATGCGGAATTAAAAACTGACTAATCTACGGGGCATTCCAACAGGACTTTGTAATTTTGACTGGTAGCCATGCAGTACTTCAAGGCTGACTAGAAATTCATAAAATTACACATTTCAATGATTACTAAGGTGGTTATTAAGTAATAAATCATTAAATAAGTTACCTGTTTCTGGAAATTATCCAATTCAAATGGATATGAGTGTGCCATATCTCTTATTTTCTCTCTAAAATCAGGCACAGGGAGTGTAACATCTATCATTTCTGCCCAATCAGTGGATGTTACCGCCATCCTGCCTTTAGAACTTGTGATATTCAGTACTGGAATCTCCGGCAGTTCTACCGGAGGTTTTATTATAGTACTCTCTAAGAAGTTATCACTCTCACTTGTGTCAATATCTAAATCCACTTTCTTCGGCTTTTGTACTATTTTAGGTTTTGTTTCTGTTCCATCGTCATCCTTCCAGAGATCTATGAAAAATGAAATTAGTAATTTTAGGGTATGTTAACAATTTTAAAAGTCTAAACCTTATCAAACTATAAATTCAGGATTATAGCTTCCAATAATTTCCAAACTAATTAAATGATAATAAAACCTCACCTACTAAATGCACATTATTATCAACAACTTCTTCAAGATTGATTTTGACAAGTTTATTGATCTCTTCTTTGTCCAATAACTTTTGTTCACTAGTGCTGCCACTTTTCAATAATGTAGAACCATCACTTTCAAAAAGAACACTTTCACTACTTCCCGGAGGTGTAGTGAGTAAATCTAGAACACAGTAAAATGTTAGCAAAAAAATTATCTACTAAACTGAAATTTAGATTATACATAAGTCTAATTAGAAACAATACAAGGCAAGATAATTATCCTATTTAAGAGAATAAAAACCAACAAAAAAGGGGGTTTATTAATTTCTTCCTTTCTTTTATAATTATTAAACCAGGGGCACTATTCCTGCAATATACCATCCTAACACATTACCTACCAACCCGCCCTGAGGGCTCATTTTAGTACTTTAAAACTATAGTGGCAGTGAATGAGTTGAAATGTACATTTAATTTTAAAATCAAAGAAAAGTGTACCTTCTCCTAAGAACTTTCCAGGTTCATCATCTTCCAAGTTAATATTGATTTCACCACTCTTGGCTGCTTCATCCAACATTTTTTGGAGTTCTTCCTCAAAGCCAGCCGGTAAGAAAGGGTTTTGTGTTGTGGTGCCCCTAGTAGCAAGGCTGGGTGGCAGAGGTGCCCGAGCCATAGATAAACAATCATCGTCATCCTCAACTGGTATACTTACTTCTTCTAGACCAACTATCTCTCCAGTTATTGGGTCTCTGATAATCTGAAATTCATAATTTTTTTTTCATATTTCAAGCAAATTCCTATCTGGTTTTTATATATTTTTCAAAATATGGTTGGATGCAAATGTCTGATCATTTTGTAAAACAAGCAAGGTACTTTAGAAATACAAGAAGCTCTACCTTATAAGTAAGAAAAAGGATTTAAAATGAAGAAATATAAAGATGTTTTACTTAACATTTTAGATGCATTATACTCACGTCTAGAGTTGTGTCTAGAGCAATATCTTCTTCTTCAAACTTAATTAAAGAATCTATGTCAGTTTCCCTGTGCCAATGAGTTTGTGATCTTTCCCATTTATGTATTGATAGTCTTTCAGGTTTTAACAAATATTCTTTAACGTGATCATTTAAATCATCGAAAATCGGTGGTATCTGAAAGAAACCAAAAGTTGAATGTGAAAAATATTTTTCCTTTTAACAGAGTTTCATTTTTTCCATATTCTTTATTTACCTTAAAATCAGCAAATTCTTTTTCTATCTGGGTCGACATTTTGTATTTAATTAAACAAGTTATTTAAAAGTTCTATTTTAAATACACATTTTATAAATGTTTTTAAAAGATAGCATTGACATTTAACTTGACACTCTGATCTGACAGCTGTTTCAAATTGACAACTCACTGACAAGTAGAAATGTATCTGCTCTGAACCGGTTCAAAACATCAGTTCACTGAGCTTTGAACCGTTGAGCTACGGCTCAAAAACTAAATTAGCAGCTCAAGGCACAACGCGATGAATGGACAAAAACTTTGGTAGTCGTCGACTACTAATACGCGAACCGCTCAGTGACTCACAGCTGACGCATATCATACTTCTAAGCAGGTACAAATTAATCTGATTTGCGAACCAGTTCACTGATCTGCCTCACCCACTCAAACCTCATGGTTTCATCAGCTCATGCTGATCAGCAAATCATCAATTTTAGTTGACATATCTAAAGCACTGAGAAATGACATCTGAAGTCGGAACCCATGTGTATTCGTCCCATTACAGCATATTCGTATTCGAATCCCGCAAAATGTCTTTTAAAATCATGATTTTGAAAGATTAACTATAAATGTAAAGTCATTTGAATTCCTTTTTTGTATAGTTTAATTTCTTCGGACATCTAATCTAATCTAACTAATATTATAAATGCGAAAGTTTAGATGGATGGATGGATGGATGTTTGTTAGACTTTGTAGCCTAAACGGCTGAACGGATCTCAATGAAATTTGGCATAGTCGTAGAGCATAGTCTGGAAGAACATATAGGCTTCTCACTTTTGTTTTTTTTAATTCCACGCCGGTCGCGGGCAAAAGCTAGTATTAAATAAATCGATCTTACAGCCTGCCACAGCAATCTTCAAGTATGATGTTATCTAACACGAAAAAAATGTTCAAACATATTAATTATTTCACCATTTTGTTGTAGGTATAGTCGTCTTTTTTTTCTTAACTGGACTGACCATTACTTCGGTAAACTTATGAGTTGTGAATAATATTTGCTAGCATTAAAATATTCAAGTTGGTTTTAAAACTTTGCCATATTAGAGAACAATGTTGTTAAGAATTTCTTTAAATCTGTTCTATTTTTTGCTATAGATGACCTTGTTCGGATATCGCTACCGTTCAATATTTTATTTAAAAGTTAACTGCTACGAAAGCGTTAATTTCGAACCAATAAACATGTACTTCAATGATTACCTCAGTTTCTTGCTACTCGTTTGCCCACTTCTCAAAAAAGAAAAATTGAGAGTGCTAATGGCTCCTTGAAACGAACCAAATACCTAATTTATATCTTCAGTTCGCTTTGATACGCATATGCAGCGGTGTGTTTGATTCCTAATAAAATTGCTCCACATTTTACTTGGAATTAGCTTGATCTACATTTAGGATGGAGCTTAACTAATCTAGATGTCTGGGCTTATCGGTAAGGCAATTTAATAATGGTTTTTGCTTTCTACAAATTCCGTATTAGTAAAAAAGTTGGTAGAGTTAACAAACTTTACAATCCATTAGCGAAGAGGTACACAATTTATGCAAATGCATGCATAGACCCGCAGTGAGATACGTTCTTTTAATTTGTTTTGGAATAAATTAAGATTTTGGTATCTCTCACGACCTTATTACCTTAATAGGTTTATTATATGTAGAGACATTTCTCATTAACATACTTAAGCCTACCAGTAATAACGTAAAATTATTATTTGTACTTTATGTTATTTGAATGTATTAAACTTGAACTACGAAAGTTTATACAAGTACAGTTAAATTTGTCCAGTCTGTAAACCACTCTAAAAAAGAAAACTGTTATTCACGAACGTTCAAAACCATACAAGCACAGACATCTGGAATCCGGGAGATATGTTACTTTCCCAAAAAAAAGCTTGATCGAAAACCTGCACTTGAAGCTTTTTATTTATTAAATTCAGAAACAGGTATCGTACGCAATCACAAAAGTACGACATAAAGTCAAAGAACTTTTAAAAATGTTGTATTATTATAAAGTACAAGTTAAAATGTTTTCCTGTATTATTTAATACTATTATTTACACGTAACGGCAAAAGTAAAAGTGAGCGTATTCGTTTTGTAGGAAGTTATGACGTATTTAATATTTATAGCGTGTTTATATGTATTCTGATCAACATGGTCTGCGGTTTTCAGTAAATTTCAGTCCTGTTTGAGAACAGAATTGAACTTCTCACCTATGCTTGCATCTACAAGATCCCACATTAGAAGCACTTACCCGATTTAAGTTATAGACTGATTAAGATTATTCTTCTTAAAGCAAATATGGTATCTTGTTCCACAATAGATTGATCTCAATTATTAAGGCAGTCTAATGGATTACTAAATACATAGGAACAAAAGCGCATCATTAACATATTTTTTTATATATTATGTTAAGCCGATACAGGTATGTGAGTCATGGAGCCTTCATTACGAAGGCTGCAAACTGGTTGGTCCCTTGCTCGCCTCAATCTCGTCGTGTCTTCATACGAAGGCAGACCATCGGTGGCGTCTGCCACGAACTCGATAATAAATTACGTTACAAATAAAAACAGTGTTCTAATTCGTTAATAATGACTCGTTATCTGTGGTCAACTGTGACAGTTCTGTGTTTGACGAATTTGGCGCTAAAATCTACAAACGGCCAATCAGAGGTACAAATTAAATTAATTTATCGAAATTCATTTATATTATTTTAACAATAGTTTAAATCTAGTGTTAGGTTATTTAATGTAAGGCAACAAAACATAGTTTTTTGGGTGATTTCATTGATGTATAACAATTTATCTACTTATATATGAGACACTAGAAATTAATATTTCTAATTCTCGTAATTTAATAATTACGAAGTATCAACGCGAATTATGAAAACGATAATTTTACAAATCTTTTATAATCTGGTTTTATTTATTTAATAACAACAATTATTTAGTTTATTATAAGTTAAAATTCAGAAATAACTCTTTCATAATAGTTACATGTATGAAGTAAATATTCATACAGACCGTTTGCAATAAAAAAATCAAGAACATTTTTAGATTGGTGGCCCAAACTTATAGACTTAACTATTTTATAGGATAAAATAAAAAATATGACAAAAACATTTATGGTGAACAAAGTGCGCGTGCGATGTTTGAAGCGCAGATAATGCAGTTGGTAAAACGGGAAGCAAACGGCGACTCGCACCATGTTTGTAGGACAGCCGAGTGGTACGAACACGTGCTAGTTCGTGTCATAGATACCATAGGTACATATAAATATGACATTTTAAATATATCTATGTTAATTCCAGACGAATTAAAAAAAAATCAAAACCTAGTAGCCTATGTGTTCTTTTAAATTATCCCATACGCTTATGTCAAATTTTAACTTATTACTAAACTTTATAGATATTGTTACAGTTTATAGTTACCTCAAAGTGCTTAGTTAGCGATGTCGTATTTCAACACAAAAATAAATAAACTTATCCGAAACAAGTAGCTATGTAATTGAAGCCCGGTGAAGATTCTGCTCAGTTGGTCAGTCGTGTCATGGTCGAAAGTAACAACGGGGTGTACAATGGCATATTAATGTGTTGTTTATGGAAAATGCCGCTGTTACGATACAAGCAGCAGTCCTTGACAGCACTCACAGCCTGTGGAGGCGTGAATCCTATAAATTAATAATCTAGACACGATGCCAGAAGAATTACGCTTTATAGATGAACATTTCAATCATTATTCCTTGCTATTATGTACATTAATACATTTAATTATAATAATATAGACATAAACAAACGTCGTAAAATTAGATCCAGTTCAAAAGCAAAAATCTTTGATAAGTAATGTTCAATATGTACTTATACATTTTTGCATAATGCGAAAAGATAAATATTTGACTTCAAATAATATGACGTCAGCTTCGTGTATATATTTATATGGTCATTTCAAATATTTGTAAAGTATAAATTGTAAATATAGGCCCACAATCTCATAAGTACTAGTCTTACAACATAGTTATTGCAGCGTTGACTTATTTAGTACTAATCGTACCTTGAGTTTGAAGTGAACGTCCGTATTTCCTACTCAAGTGCCCATTCTATTCGTGCTTTGTGCTTTGTAATTATCTGTCCATAAAATTATTGCACACTACAACAGTGACTGGAGTTATCCTTGTGAATAATATTAAAGTATTGTTTGTAATTAATTTGAATCCAATAATCGTATAGAGTAAGTAAATTGCAATGGAACGTGTTATAAATCTATCGTAACATTATAAAGAGGAAAGATTTGTATTTTGGTATGTATTGAAATAATTCAAAAACTATTAGGCCGATTTTAAAATTCCTCCACCGTTCGAAAGGTAATTTATCTGTGAGTAACATACTCTACATTTTAAACTTATTTTTTCAATTTAACGCGGACGAAATCGCAATAAGAAATAAAAGAATCAAAATTATGTAGAAGTCCAAAAACCTCGCAGATCAACGTTTAAATGACGCACAGATGAGTTTATGGAACATAATTTCTAATAAAGAATTCGCATATTATTAAAACGGTACAAATAAATAAGTCATTGATCTTTCTGCTTTTAAAAATCATTTAGTGGGCGGAGAGGTTAACAGATGATGCAGATTGACACCGTTTTTGGATTTTTTTATAACAATAATTACAATAACTACCTTGACCTGACAAACTGTCAGTCGAACATAATCAATTATTTATAATTTTTAGTGCTCATCTTATGAAATACATAACTTTTTTGATACCAGTTTATTTACTTTCATACATAATGTATGAAACGTATGAACGTTTCTATCCCGGCTGCTAATGCAGCTCCTTGCACGCAACTTTCGCTTTCTTGATTCCGTATTATAGACTATTATTCTGTGAACGTAATTCATTTACAAGTTTATGCAATTGCATGTGTTAATGTTAGATTCATTACGATTTTTTTAACTAGGATGAAGAAATAATATAAAAAATAAAATATTTTTCATTATTTAGTCTTCTTTAAGTTAAAAATCGCATAAGATTTATTCTTAGTTTACGTCACCTGAAAAATAAGTAAATGTGTTTGGAAATAAAGAATAAAAATTGTCTAATCTTGTGTTTTTAAAACTGTAGGTCACTATAAAGTTTAAGAAGGCTTGAAAAGCTTTCGCAGGTTTTTTTTGCGAAATTCCGAATAACCAGATGAATTAGGTTTTTACAAAATGTTAGAACTTTGTAGTTTTTTCAAGTATGAAGGCTTTACTAAAAAGGAAGATAAGTATTGCACATAAAAGTACTAATAGAGATTTACTAAGCATCTTAATTGAATTTCATTGTCAAAGGATGTGTTAGTGTTGTAAGTTTATGCAAGAGTCGTATACATTGGCCCTTCGCTTGTGACTTTACCTTAATCACATTCCCAAACATTGTACAGCATTACTATCTACTACTTATGTTTAGGTAACTACATACATCGCAAACTGTCAAATGTTGCTATCTATAGTTTTCATAAAAGTTTTAACGTACTTAAAAGAAAAATATATTCCCTTTGTCTTTACCTCTTTACTAACCGATTTCCACTTTCTACTTCATTCTTTATATTGCATATGTATATTCTTTTCCTTTTTTACACAATTCTTTGTTACAATTAATCTTTTTGTGATATCATCAGACATATTGGAAATAGTTTGCTTGGTTAGTTCATTATTATTCATCGAGTTTAGTGTCTGATACAGAGCATTTAGTAATTAATGACGTAATTGCTTCAGATCTATCTAGATTCTAATTATATTGAATACTAATATCTACTCCGTGGTAGAGTGATGCAAACGTTTGTAACGTGTGTAAGTTTTTCATTAAAGAAACCCGTTGATAATAAAAAATAAACATTTTGATTTTACATGCCCATGAAATATGACTTCCGTACTAATTTCTGTAATGTTAGTAGCCCACGTACCCCAATACAAGTATGAACAGATTCGTAAAGGTTTTTATTTTTTAATTTCACACGGTACAATCCGGCACGATTGATTTGAAACAATTTCACGGGCTAATTTTTGAACTATTTTCTTACCTAAATACAAAACATAAGTATGATGTCTAAAAGTCTCTAAATTTTTATCACAAACAGATATAAAACTAGAAGGAACAGCCAATCTATCAAATGGGAAGAATTCTATATGATACTTGTGAATCTGCCTGTAATTGCACTTGGAATTATTAATTGAAATGATTTTATATAGGAACTTTCGACGAAATGTGTCAGCACGAACGTAATAAGACAAAAACAAAACTTTTTTAAGTAAACACAGGCAAAAAGTAACACGACACTTTGGTTATCTATCATTAATAGTCATTTCTTTGTTTTAGGCGTTAATAGCGAAGCATGCGTGTGTAATCGGCGCCGGGTACTCAGGTCTGGCCGCTGCTAGGTACCTCCAAGAGTACGATGTCAACTTCACTGTGTACGAGGCGTCGCGGCATATTGGAGGTACTTGGAGGTTCGACCCACACGTTGGCACTGATGAGGATGGCCTACCACTCTTCACCAGCATGTATAAGAAACTCAGGTATAAATTTCAGCAGCTTAGTGCGTCTGCAGCATTATTTATATCTCGCTACATCTAAAAAGGTGTTCTACTCAGACTCTAGCTAAATTCCAATCTACAAAATTTGAAAACAATAATAACTTGTAATTAATATAAAAAGCTAGAAGCTTGACTTGATAATAAGTCCAAGGAAGAATAGAATACGAATTAAATTATACTTTAGACTCCAAAATAGACCAAGCCGTACAGTCAAAATAGATATTTCGGGCAAAAATAAACCGTTTAAATTATTGAATTACTATATGCTAAGGACTATAAGTACAGAGTATGTTTTAAAGCGAAAGTTTAACTTGCTGAACTCATTGCTTCATATCCAGTTGCCTAATGTCTTAAGTAATTGAGTAGATACTAATTGACGTAACTCATAGCATTTAACTCCTAATCTATTGACCAAATATAGAATCGAAGTTACGATAGATAGGTCATCTATTAGTTTGCTACCGTATTTAGTTTAATTGTAGTAATCCAAAGATATCGTAACACTAAAATTGTATATGCGATATTTTATAAAGATGTTTTTAAATATATTTAGAGCGCTCAAATGAATCGCGAAACGATATAATACCTACAGAAATCTTAATACATTAATATTTAAATGAATGGCATTTTGCTTTTACATTTTAGTGTTGCTATTGCGTAATAATTTATAATCTATACTAATATTATTTTTGTATGTATTGGAATAACTCAAAATAAATATTTATTATATTAACAGATTTTTTGTGTTTCTGTTTATTTCTAGAACAAATACTCCCCGCCAGACGATGGAGTACGCGGGATTCCCTTTTCCAGAAGACACGCCGTCCTACCCCTCCGGCGGCTGTTTCTACAAATATCTACAGAGTTTCGTTAAAAAATTCGATCTCATGAAGTATATTCGAGTAAGTACCGGATCCCTAATTTTAGTCCCTTTTCATAAGAGGAAAGGATGGTAATGAAGGTGGATTTGACAACAGAGGAGACGGTAAGAAACGGGAAATATACAGTATAAAAAAAAGTTTCTTGTCACCAATACTTATAAAATATATCATAACACTTATTATTTCTTCTTCAATCGATCGATCTCTTATACACAATATCTGTTATATACAACTGTGAGAACCCACGGTTACAAATAAATGGTTCCCTATAATAAAGTTGGTAAGCAAATGTTGCAAATGAAAGTAGCCTAAGATTACGGTATCATAATTTAAGTATCGTAGTAATAAATGAACGTAAATAAATTGAACATCCTATTAAACTATTAAATAGTAATAAAAATGTAGTAAAAGTGAAATGCAGCAACATTCTTTTATCAGATATGTTTTATACAAAGAGTTAAATAATGATTAATAACTAACTGTCGCCTGCGACTCCGTCCGCGCGGAATTAAAAAACAAAAGCAAGAAGCCTAGGTGTTCTTCCAGACTATGTTCTATATCAATGGTAAATTTTATCGAGATACGTTAAGCTACTAAGTTTATGAAACATCCATCCATCTATCTCATTTCATCATCATCCACTTATCCCTTACGGAGGGTCGGCACAGTATGTGCTGCTCTTCCATACATCTGTATCAGCCGTCATATTTGAATCCACTCCTTTCTTAAGCATATCCTCTTGTACACAATCCATCCATACTTTCTTCGGTCTTCCTCTTCCTTTGTAGCCATCCACATTCAATCTCAACACTTTCTGGTTTATGTCCCCATCATTTCGTCGCATAACATGTCCATACCACGCTAACCTTTTGTTAATCTTTAACGCTAATCTCATTTCATCAACATTCGTATTTATAACATTAGTAAGATAGTAAAATTAAGTACCTCAAAACTGTCAGCAATTAATTGTGAAGCTAATTAACAATCTTGTTCATTAATTATCAAGCCACTGTGAGATTATATTTTACTGAATCATTTTTGATTATTTTATCGATTAAGAACTCTCCAAAGTTGTTCTGGAAATCCACATATCAAAAGGACCCAGTGAAAATAAACAACGCAATAAATAAGTTATTGTATTTCTTGAAGTTCCGGAGTCTAGTGACCAGAGTGCGTTGGGCGAATGACCATTGGGAACTGACTTACGTTGACAGCAAAGATAAGAACAGTTACACTGACGCCTGCGACTTCATAATCATCGCTAGTGGACAGTACAGCAACCCAGTGAAGCCTACATTCCAAGGACAGGATAGTTTTAAAGGTCAGTTTACTATCTAAAATAATGCCCGTGTAGTAAAAATTGGAAATCTCCTTGTTCTTTTTTTGTTCCCTAGGTAATATAATACATAGTCACGATTACAAGGACCCTGAGACGTTCCGAGGTCGTAAGGTGATGGTTGTCGGCGCGGGCGCATCTGGCCTCGACCTTGCTACTCATTTATCCAACGTCACCGCCAAGCTGGTACACAGCCATCACCTGTCCTACAACCAGCCCAAGTTCCCCGGCAACTACGTCAAGAAGCCAGATATTGATCTCTTCAGGACAGATGGCGTTATTTTCCAAGATGGATCCTACGAGGATATAGATGACGTCATATTTTGTACTGGTATGTTCTTAATTTCATAGATATAATGCTTATCGACTGATTTGGTCGTTTGATCGTTTCTCTGATTACTTTATTTCCGTTTAGATTTTAGATATGGACAAGTGGAATAATAATGTGAAGTATAAAAGAAAAAGGAAGATATTCAAATCTTTATCATTATTTTAATGAATCGCATCGGGCGTACGTTACTCAAATTTTCAATTTTCTTAGTTCTTTGAGTAATTTCATATTCCAGGGTATGAGTACAACCATTCGTTTGTTGACGAGAGCGCCGGGCTGACGGTGTCGGGCAAGTTCGTGCTGCCGCTGTACCAGCACATCGTCAACATTAGACACCCCACTATGACCTTCCTTGGTGTTGTGGGGAAGGTCATCACACGAGTAATGGATGCCCAGGTACATACTCTTATGGGTAAACGTTTAAAAAAATTGCTTAAGCTATTACAATAAAACATTTAGTTATTCTTTGTTTCTTTATTCATTTCTGGCTGTATTTTTTTTATTTGAACAAACCGAATTATTTCGGTATATGAGAATCTTAACGTCTTTCCGTTCCATAGACCTAGATCATCGGCGACGTCCACGGCTATTAATGTCTTTTAATGGTTATCCATTAACGAATTGTCTTGTGCTCCAAAGATCGAGATGTAAAATTTGTGACCGTTTAAATACATAGGCTTTTTTCCGCACTATCGCATCACTTCAGCCAGCCCGTGATCATAGTGCATGAAACTGTGCCGAAACGTCGGGAGCTAAAACAACCCAATCGTTAGAATCCTGTGTCTTACGAATTTTATATAGGAATTTTGTGTATTTGTGGTGTAGGCACAGTACGCGGCGGCGCTGGCCGGCGGTGTGTTCGAACTGCCGCCGCAGCAGAGCATGTTGAAGATTTGGCTGGAGCACGTGCGTTCGCTGCGCAACAACAACTTGAGGATCATCGACGTTAACCTCGTTGGTGACGATATGGTAAGATAGTATACTGCTATACTGATAATGGTTGTCTTAAATATTCAAAAAAGAGATAAATCGATAACACTAGTTGGCCACTCGCTTGGTGCTCTACCACGACCACATAAAAGAGAAGCGTCAAGTTAAATGCGTTTAGTCTGATTAATATGGAGGCCTGTAGTCTACTTCCCCTTTCCACAAGTACGTACAGTCGGAATTCTGGTGTTCTACAGAAATTTGATCCTTTCAACGATAAACTCCTCATCTTACAAAAACCAAAGTAACAGTTAACTGCGCAAACGACACAAACTTTCTGTACAAATACATTTATAAACTGTGTTCTAATTTGTATCTTAATGTGTACACAACGTTGAAACGACTGTAGCCTTTAAGGTGGAACACCACCCGATTCCCCAATTATACAAGGAAAGATATTGTATATGGCAAGGGGAGAGCTGGGGGGGGGCGTAGGTAGGGGAAATATCCTATTTATGTACTACATTGTCTGATGCAGGACTATTACTTCGCGAAGCTAACGGAAGAGGCGGGCGTGGTGCGCGCGCCGCCCGTGCTTAAGGCGATGCGGGACTTCAACGCAGTCAATCGACTGGAGGACCTCCTCAACTACAGAGACTATGACTACCAGATCTTAGACGACAACAACTACGATAGAACGTACAACCCTAGAAGAGAAGACACGTGCTCTATTCAAATATAACTGTCCTATTGGATGACGGCCAAATACTGAAACGAATCTAACCTATGTTTATTATAACTTTAATTTCCGCGCTGATGAAGACATGGGCAACACCTAGTCTTAAATAATTCGCTTTATTAGCGCCGCTTACAATCTGATAGACGTCATTTGTAAGGAATTTGGAGTTTTAGCACGAGCTTTTAGAACGTTTTAGTATTCGGACGTGGATGTGTCTGATGACAGAAAATAAGAGCTGCTAATTGGAGTAATTTCCTTAAAAAGGCGTACAAAGTTAACATTTCACGTATTAATATAATGATGTACAGTCAGCTGCAAAAATAAATATACATTTACAAAGCTTCGGATACTTGTATACACTTTCGTTTAAAAAAATGTATGTATATATTTAAGATGGGAAGTATACGGACGGACGTGCATGTATATTTTTGAAAACGAAGACGTATAAAGTTTCAAAAGGTTTATAAATGTATATTTATTTCTGTAGCTGACTGTACTTCTTGTCAATGTTAATTGAGAAATTCGTGGGACAGTATTGTAATCAGTGTTGTTTAGTGTTACCATTAGTTGTATTTTGATGGTGAATAAAAGAAGTTTTATAATAATATTTTTATAATAAATAATCTTTAAAAATCCTCCGTTATGTAAAAATATATAGAAAATACTTTAAAAACACAATACAATTACATAATTTTAGAGCATGTTATTAACTTAACATAAATAAAAAAAGTATAAAGCTTGAATAGGCGTTTAAATTTTAAAAAAAAGTAAATACATTTTACTTAACATAAATTAGTAAATGCGTGCCACAAAAGCGAGTTGATTTACTAAAATAGCTATTTAACAATAACATAAGTATTAAAAATTAACTTGTTTTTTAAACACATCACATTTGAAGCTTTAATATTTTTACATTTAAATACAAGATTAAGTAATATCAAAAATTAGACTAGCAATTATAAAAAAAAAATTATCTGATCCACACAAACTTAAAAAGTAGTCAAGCATTTTTTTCCTCAAAATAAGTGTCAGTAATGATAGATTAATGTTCAACAAATACAAAAAATACTCTAATCTACTATTAGTTCTACTAGTAGTTAATACTTACTACTACTTAATACAATAATTTGATTTGTTACTAACCATCCGCAACAAACAGTATACTTTCAGGCACCTTGCCGTTAAGTCTATCACGTTTTTTCACACGTACAATCCTCCTAAACGATTTATCATCGATCAGTTCGTAAATATAATCTCTATAAGTGAATAAATTTTCTAGCTTTGCTTCATTGCTTACGTTTCGTAGTTTAGACATGACAGGGGGCACTCTGTCTATGCCAGATTCATCACATAGTTCCTTGTAATACTGATCCTGGAGATAAAAACATAAAAAATAGTATCAAAAAGATATCGCTTGTTAAATAGGCAGCTATTGTCCAAGCGACACATTCAACAATCTAGTAAAAAATTACTAATCAAATAGTACTCTTACTAAATAGTAAACTTAGCTAACAGAGGGACACGATTTAATACACCCAATAAATATCATTACCCTGTCATTCTCATCAAATAAAAGTTAAAAGCTTCTGATATGGAAATCAGTGGACTATAATTTCAATTACCTCTTTATCTCCTAACAAATGTAAATCAGACATGGGTCGTCCATTAGAGTGAATAACATCAACTTCCTTTTGCCAAACATTCAACATCTCTTCCTTGGACGGCAGAGAGAAATCACCCTTTATAAGTGCTGTGGTGTAACGAACCTGCAAAATAAAGAAAAATATAATATAATAAAAAAAAATATAAACTATTAATATTAATTAAAACAATATATTAAGATACTTCAGTATTTATATTAATTAAGAAAAACATTGTAATACAACCAACATATATTTGTAAAGTAATTCAAACATTTACATAACTTCCTAATCAACTTGACTGAGCCTAGAGGTGTATATGCTGATATCTATATTAATATAATAAAGAGGAAAGATTTGATTGTTTGCATTGAATAGGCCCCGACACTATTAGATTTGAAAGTGTTTTTCTTCTTTTTAAATTTAGCGAGGACAAAGTCGTGAACAAAAGCTATATTATATATTTACCTGGGCGTTTAAAGCTACGATATGGCAGGCGCGCCTCACCAGGCCCAGCACCACCATACTGGGTTCATTTATATTCACAAGACATTTGTACAGCGGGACCACATGGTCCTTGTTGACCGTTAGACCACATGATGAGTCCAGATAAGGATAAGTGTAGTTAAATCCTAAAATAGTGTGATAAAGTGAGAAAACATTACGTCATTGCATAATTAGAGGCAAGAAAAGACACAAATTACACTTACCAGTGCAGTAAATAACAACATCAATCTCTATATAAGTACCGTCAACAAAAATAGCTCCAGTTTCGTTAAATTCCTTAACATCAGGTTTTCTTACATACTTGTCTGGGAACTTGGTTTTACTATTTTGTTTAGAATGGTGGCTGTGCACCACTGTGTTAGCGTAGTTAAGCATTTCTATAACAATATCCCATGCGGAGGTTCCCCCACCCACGATTAAAACACGTTTGTTTTCGTATATAGTAGGAACTCTATAGTTTTTGGTATGCAATATTTCTCCTGGAAGTTGAATTTCAGATTACAATGATATACTAGATATATATGTGGTAGAAACCCACTATGGTGTCAAAACCCACTGACTCTTACTAATATTATAAATGCAAAAATTTTGATTGATGGATGTTTATTAGAGTTTGAAGCCAAAACAACTGGACGGATTTTGATGAAATTTTGGTATAAATGTAGAGGATAGTCTGGAAGAACAGATAGTCACTTTTGTTTTTTTTTTAATTTCACGCGAACGGAGTTGCTGGCCAAAGCTAGTAATTAAAATAAAATAGAATTATAGTCAAATTTCAAACAATGGGTGACCACTAGTATGAAATAAAAACCTTTAAAAAGTTCTTCATTTGGAATTTTTGGCTCATTAGGATTACTAAAGTGTCCAGTTCCTATAATAATAAAGTCATATTCATCTTCTTGCTCTGTTCCGTTTAGTACATTTATGGTTTTTACTTTCCATACATTTCCTTCCCGCCGCACTGATGTGACATTCTGAAGAAACTGTAACAAGTTATATAATTAACAAAATTGTATATTTAGGTTCCCAAATGCTGTGATAATATATTGTTCACATTCATTCATTTTAAATAATTCACATCCATAATTCAAATACAACTAAATAAAAACAACATTAGTAACATTCAGCTTAAACTCTCTTGGCATTGTATTACAAAATTCTGGTGTACTTACTGCGTTGCAAGCGCAAGCGACCCAAAGTGGGTCCTGGCGACCGACACTAGAGAGCGAAATTCTGGTTTAAACTATTCGAATTATTTGATGGATTTTACATTAAAAATCGACTTTTGGAGAATAAATCCCCATACTTCAAATTCAAAACATAAGATGAGTTCACATCTGAGTAGATATATCTTTACATAGATTTTTCAGAAACAAGAAACATGAGTTTGTTCTGATAATCAGTTACTTACCTGTATATACTTCTTTAAGTTAAAATGTTCAGCATAAGACACAATGTAGTAATAATATAATTCTGCATTAGGAAAGAAATGCAAATGTTTTGGTATTGGAAAACCAAGTAGTTCCATTGTGGGATGTGGTAAATTTAACCTGATTTAATTAAAAACATTATTCCTAATATAAAAATAGCAATGGGTTATAAAAAAAGCTAGCAATCTTACTAATATTATAAATGCGAAAGTTTAGATGGATGGATGTTTGTGAGCGTTTGTAGCCTAAACGGCTGAACGGATCTCCATGAAATTTGGCACAGGTTTAGAGCATAGTCTGGAGAACACATAGGCTACTTTTTATCCCGGGAATAGTTACGGTTCCCGTGGGATTCATTAATTTAGTTTTTTAATGTTTACTCGATCATTCTGCAACGTTTCAACATATCTTATTGAAATTTGACACAGATATAAAACAAAGTCTGGAGTACACATGGGACAAGCTTCATCCCCGAGAAATGTCCGGTTCCCGAGGGATACGTAGCTTTTTGTAATTTATATAGTTTGTATGTTTTCGAATACCACGCGGACGAAGTCGCGGGCAACAGCTCGTTTTATATAATTAGCATGATTTTTTATTTGATATTTAAGTGTTAATGTGGATAGTCTCAGTAAACAAGTCCTCTGTTACAACCTAATCCTTTTCCTATCTCTACCTTCCCTTAAAATTATTCTGTTTAATAAGTGATTGATAAAAAAATATTACTTTAATCCTTATCAGATAAAATCAGTATATTTATACAAAATGAGAAATAAGAAATAAATATAACAGTCTTTCACAGATAACAAAGAATTACTTATAGTCATTTCCTTTAGATTAAATAGTTGTTAGAAATGATTACAGTGTACAATACCATGTATTACAATAATTAAACAAGTGTATTGATAAGCCAGTGGTGTTAATGAATCACATCTTTCATGAATTTGGTTAAAAATCATGTTTTAATCTCAAGACTTAATGATCTGCTTTGAAAGAGAAGTATATATATTTAATAAAGCATATAACATTTTATTTTTTGATCATGATGTCTTTGAACAGCATTGCAGGCAACTGCAAATATAGTCTATATATATAGACCAACTGTTAAGTTGTTTTCTTAATTTAACATAACCCTCATCACTTACAAAATGTATAAGTAATGCTTACCTTAAATCTCCAAACATACTTGTGTGCAATATTGAGTTATAGTGATCAGTTGCTCGTGTTGCTTCATATTTCCACATACCACCCAGATTTTGAGAACATTCTAAAACTGTAAAGTTGATTCCTTCATCTTTTAAACATTTTGCAGAAGTAAGACCAGCAACCCCAGCACCAATAATACAGACGCGAGGTCCATTTGATTTAGCCTAAAATCAATTTTCTTGTTAAAAGTATTTCTATAAAAAGACTAAACCGACTTATCTGTATTGTGAAAATATTGCGTTAGCAAACTCTTCTGAGTTTTTATAACTTTAAAGTTTTTAAATGGTAGACATTAGTACATAGAAATTATTTTGAAAATTCGAATTATCTTGGTTTCATTCAGATTTTTTATTAAATTGTTTAAAGTCATAGGATCTCACTCACATTATTTAATTATAAATTAGTTAAGTGTATAAAATATTCTATTGTACAAGTACTTGAGTATTACCGATTGCACAATCTCCCAAATTAGTAACCACATCATTGACACACAAAACATTACACAACTTTACACTTTATTTTCCCCTGTTATGACTACTAATGTTTTAACGATTAGCATAACTTTTTTAGTCATGTAAAAGTAAACAAAAATATTACCGGCAAAAACACTTACCATAATTTATACGTCGGAACTAATTAAAAAATAGGATTTTTTTGAAGAAAAATAAAATAGAAGTGGAACTGTGGGAGGCCTAAAGTGTAAAATAATTAAACCCAACTACATAAATTACAAAGCAAAATTCTGAGCCAGCCAAACAAAG